GCATTTGTCTAAATTATTAAATCTGCCGACTGTTCATAAAGAGTCTGCGTCGGAGTTGCAATCACTTCGAGACTGCGCGAATATTGCTGTCACTTCGCTTGCTCAGCTTCCACGTTCACCGGATGAACTGTGGAGCGACATATTAGTACACATTATAGTTCAAAAACTCGATCCGGTTACTAAAAAGGCGTGGCGGCTTAAGACGATCGACCAACTCGAGCCTCCGTCGTTTAAAGATTTGAGTGCGTTTCTTGCATGCCGTGCGCGAGCTCTTGAGGAGATTGCAAGCTCCCCCGTTATCAAGACTGGTTCCGGAACTGCTCCGATACGTAGGGTGACTGTCGCGACCGCGGCCGCGTCGCCCGATTCTGCATGTCCGATATGCAAGGCGCGACATTTCTTCAGCGCGTGTCAGACCTTTGTGCGAGGGAGCGTGTCTCAGCGTCGCGAGCTCGTTCGGAAGCATGGGCGTTGCTTCAATTGCCTAAGTCAAGGGCACTCAGTTAGAGAATGCAAAAGCAAGTATTCGTGTCGCAATTGCCAAGCTCGCCATCACACGTTGCTTCACACGAGCCAGCGACCTGAGGCTCAGGAAGCGAACAACTCGGTTATCGTGCAACCGAGCTCGAACGGGAACTCGAGCGTTGAAGTTACTTCGATGATCGCGTCATCTTCGAAAGCGCAACATACGCCGGTTCTCCTCGCGACCGCGCGCGTCCGAGTAGGGACGTCCAATGGGCGCTCCCTCGAAATTCGCGCTCTCCTCGATCAGGGCTCCGAGATGACGTTCATCTCGGAGCATCTCGCTCAACTCTTGCGTGCGAAACGGCACCGCCTGCCTACGTCGGTGTCCGCCGTCGGAGGCGTTCATGCTGGCACATATCGCTTCGCCGCGCGGATCTCTCTTTCGTCTCTTTCGTCCGATAATCCGTCTATCACGACGAACGCGTTAATTCTTAACACGCTCACATCATATTCGCCGAAACGAGCAAAGGGTGTCGCATCGCTTCGGCATCTCGAGGGCGTCGTCTGGGCGGATCCGGATCCTACCAGTTTGGAACCGATTCACCTCATTATTGGCGCGGAACTCTATGGTGAGGTAATGCTAGAGGGCCTTCGAAAAGGTCTCCCTGGCCAGCCGATCGCGCAAAATTCGATATTTGGATGGGTCATATCAGGTCCGACGTCGTCCATTCTCGCCGCTCAAACTCACTCGCGCCCGTGCGAAATTAACTCGAGTCATGCTCATCACATCGCGGTTCATCACTGTGTCACTGAGTCCTCCTTGGAGGAGGAGATCAAACGATTTTGGGAGGTCGAGGAGCTTCCCGACCGCCCGCATACGGCACCTGACGACGTAGCTTGCGAGAAACATTTTCTCGAAACGCATTCACGCACCGCGACGGGACGGTACGTCGTGCGTCTTCCTTTTCGAGCCGGTCCTCCAATCGCAATCGGAGACTCTTGCTTTCGCGCGGAAAAGCAGCTCAACACGCTCGTGAGGCGGCTGCACCAGCAGCCTGATAAGTTTCGCGAGTACCGCGCTTTCTTGAAGGAGTACGAATCTCTCGGGCATTCGCGCGTGGTTTCACGCGCCTCGAACACGTTAGCGCCGTGCGTCTTCCTTCCTCATCACCCGGTCTTCCGCGAAACCAGCACAACCTCGCGGTTGCGGGTCGTCTTTAACGCGTCTAGCGTCACGTCGAACGGATCCTGTCTAAATGATCACCTCTTGTCTGGTCCGAAATTGCAAGCCGACTTGCTCGGTCATTCTTCGCTGGCGACAGTTTAAGTTTGTCTACACCGCCGACATTGCGAAGATGTATAGACAGATCTTAGTCGATCCGCGCGATCTTAATTACCAGCGAATCTTGTGGAGGGATTCGCTGGACGATGCAGTCAAGGAGTATCAACTCCTCACTGTGACGTACGGCACAGCTTGCGCTCCTTTCCTCGCTCTCCGAGTCTTACGTCAATTGGCGCGTGACGACGGTTCGCGTTTTCCGGTTGCCGCTGCCGTGCTACTCAACCACATCTACGTCGACGACGTGTTATTCGGTCACGAGAACGCTCGCGAGCTTCGAGACGCTCGCGACCAACTCATCAATCTCCTCCGACTTGGCGGTTTCGAGCTGAGGAAATGGGCGAGTAACTCCGCGAATCTCTTGACTGACATTGACGCCAATGACCACGGTATCGCGTGTAGCAAGTCTCTGTCCGATTCCGATCACGTTAACATTCTCGGCATCGGATGGAACCCAAAGTCCGACGCCTTTCACATTAAAGTTGCGATTTAGGACGAGATGCCCACGACGAAACGGTCGATTTTGTCCGCCATCGCGCGCCTATACGATTCGCTGGGATGGGTAACGCCCGTCGTTCTCGCCGCGAAGGTAATTATTCAATTGCTGTGGCGACTCAAGGTCTCGTGGGACGAACGCGTTCCCGATACCATTCTTCAAAGATGGCAACTCATCTACGCCGGTATCCCGCGTTTAAACGAACTTTACATTCCGCGATGGTCCGGGCTCACGTCGACCGCGAGGATCGAATTGCACGGCTTCGCCGATGCATCTAATGTTGCTTACGCCGCTGTTGTGTACGCGAGAGTCACTACCGCGTCCGAAAAAATTGTAATCACTCTGTTGCAAGGGAAATCTCGCGTCGCGCCGCTCAAGACTCAGAGTGTTCCTCGCCTAGAGCTGCTAGGAGCAACGCTTCTCGCTCGTCTCCTCGAGTTCGTGCGCTCTGAATTGAACCTCACTGGTGCCCCGTGCGTGTGCTGGTCCGACTCGACTATAGTTCTCGCGTGGCTCCGACAGCATCCGTCAAGGTGGAAGACGTTCGTCGCGAATAGA